AACAAATGAACTGACAGAGTATAGCTACATAAATGCACTAACTAAGAAAAAGACGAGAGGTGATGAAAAGAACAATTCTGAGGATTAAGATTCGATCCTGCAACACTGACAAAGAAAACCCAAGTCCAAAATGTATAATTGAACTGCAGACATCCAGACTGCACTCAATACATGTTTTGTTCAGTGGCAGGTGAGACTTACAGAGGCAGGGGACATGTCCCAGTCCTTGGCTGACTCTGGTGTCCCGCTGTCCTCTTTCACGCTCCTGTCCAGCAGCCTCTTACTAGCCAGCTCCTCTGCGTCCAGGATATCCAAGGCCTGCTGGAACTCTTTGGCAGCATACTAGACAAAACAGTCAGATACTATGAAGCATGGAGAATACCTAGGCTTCTCTGAGTTGTATAATGCAATGTAAATAACTATTTTACAGGTACTTACATGGCATCTAGCAGCAAGATACTGACAAGCTCCGTACAGCTGTTTAAGAGAAGACACATGTTGTTTCAGACAAGGGACTGAAGTGGGTACAATCCTCCATATGTTGATTTGTGTATTTAATATTAAACGTATCACTCACTCATTGAGAAAGAACACACACATAACCCACATTACCTTGTCAAGTTTTCGAGATCGGAGGGCATGGGAGGCTCTGTGGTACTGTGAGGTCAAGTAAAGGCACTGAGCTAGCCAGTAGATATCCTGGGGATCCTCTGGAGGAGGTACAAAGAGGCAGGGTATTATTTCATTTTTATTTGTCATGGTACGCAAAACCAAATGTACAATAATTGCCACAAAACATGACTCTACCATTGAGCGAAAAGGAGCAGGGAGAAGAATAAAATCTTATGTGACCTGCCCCTTTCTAAAAAAAACAAATACAAATAGATGGTCTGCCCTTCATAATAATAATAATTTTTATTTATTTCTCACAGCCAAACATAACAGTATCTTAGGATACTAAGAGAAACACACAAACAAAATACTTATTTCCCACTTGACGGTTAACGGAAAGAATAAAAAACAACACCAAAACATCACATGTATAAGGAAAAGAAAAGTGCAACACCCTCATCTGAGTCCTACTGGAGAAGAAGGTGGAAAGCGACGCATGATGATAATAATAATAATAACAATAACAACAATGGCAATTACATTTCTGATAGTATAGTCATCCCTGACACCAAAACATCAGAGACATTGTCAAACTAGCTTGTGACAATGAAAGCAAAACAGTAATGATTTCTCTATAAACCGCTAGTCTTATTAACAGTGGTGTACAGTAACTAAGTACATTTACTCAAGTACACTACTTAAGTACAATTTTGAGATACTTGTTCTTTACTTGAGGATTTAAACGTTTTGCTACTTCGTATTTCTGCCCCATTATAATCAAGAGGTAAATCGTGTACTTTTAAACCCACTACATTTTTTGTATAACTTTAGTTACTTTGCAGATTGGGATTAATTATGTTTATATATTCAACACTTAATAAGACTTTAATCACACAGAGTAAATCCACAAGTTACCCTGCAAAGTAATTAAAACTAGCTTTAATAAACACCTTAATGCATGAATAAATGGAATTAAAACATAAAATATATATTATTAGAAAATGGGTCAATCTGCATAATGTTCGCTATTACTTTCGGAATTTAAGTATATTTTGATTCTAATACTTTTGTACATGAGTAACATTTGCAATACAAGACTTTTAACATAGTACTACTACACAATGCTACTTCTACTCAAGTAGTAGTACTCGAGTACTTCTTCCACCTCTGCTTCATCACTGACAGGATACACCAAAAATCATCACAGCCGTTGACAAGCTACTGTATTATCTGCCATTAATATACAGTCTATTTACCGCTCGTTACAATGACAGGAAAACAGGAATAATGTCTTTATAAACCGCTAGTCTTATTAGCATTGTAACTTTAGCGACAAATCGGTAGGTTAAGTCTGCTATGCTTGCTAGTCACACAGCAATAACTGCACTTACTTACCGTGAGACAGGGACGCTATCTTGTCGGCCCAAAACAGAGCACTTTGATACTGTTGCTGTAAACAAACAGACAACAAAAAAGGCAAGAGTTACTCAAATATATGTTGATGTGTTTAGCCGGGTGATAGCTAAAGTTAGCCAGGCAGTCCAGCTATGAATGTTCGTTCCTATTGACGCCAGGTTTGCTCTCAAGCTAGCATTTAGCTAGCAACACAGAAAGTCAGAAATACATGATAATTCTTACCTGATCAATGTACGCCCGAACTCGCTTTCGGAGTCTGTCGAGATTCATTTTTGTTTTTCCTTTTTATTGCTCTGACTTTTAAAAGTGTGTCATTCTAAGAGAGAAGAACGCAGTGTACAAAACTATGAACAAAACAGTTCGTACTAGCTTGCTAGCTGCGTAAAATCAAATAATCAAATCCGCGGCTTCTTTCTGCAAAACGTGTCCCGCAAAATGGTGCCGTGAGGAAACTCATACTGGATAGACAGTTCCACTCTTTCACACTTAAGAGTGGCGAAGTGACGCCCATCAACTTCCGGTCCATGGGACCTTATTTCGGAAAAATTATGTATTGAAGTCAATGGAGAGAGAACACTTATCTTTCGATCCCGTTTAAATTGTGCTACGAATTACACATATGATGTTTGTCAATCTTAAAAAATAATTTCCATGTCAAAACATGCACAGTTTGTCGTAAAACTGCTGAAATATAAGACTATGAAAAATACGCAACTAGAAAGACTACAAAACCCAGAGTCGCGTAAGTGACAATTGTTTTCCTCCGCTAAATATAAGAGATAGCTAAGATAAGATAACTTTAACAAGATACATGTGTGCTTAGTACCAGGCTGTAATCATACCAGCAATGGGTCTTGCTCGTTCTTTCGCTTCTCGTCTGATGAAAGGACCAGGAGTGGCTGGCTGGATCAAGTTAGTTATCTAGCTAGTAGCAAGCACGTTAGTTAGCATTACAGTCTTAGCCTTGTCATTTGTATTAGCGTTAACATGAAGTAACATCAAGTAACCCAAAATGTTAAACAGTACGAGTAGTAGTCATATTTCGTGAACCCTTTGAAGAGTACTGTCACACCGGTGTGATCATTCTATAATACACCATTTAAGCCCGGGGGATAAATGCGAACGCTAACGCTACATTAGCATCGGCGATCTTTTGTTCTTCATGCTATCTGCACAAGTGGTTGACATTAAAAAGATCAGGCAGTTCAGAGAGAATCAAAGGAAGGCAGGCAGCTTTGCATGACATTCTTCTGGACGTGTTTCATTGTGTTGATAGTGAGGATCATAGATATATAAATTAGGGCTGTCAAACGATTAACATTTTTAATCAGATTAATCACAGTTTAAAAATTAATTAATCATGATTAATCACCATTCGAACTATGTCCAAAATATGCCTTTTCTTTATGTATATTGTTGTGGGAATGGAAAGATAAATGAAAGAAGGCGGATATTGTGGTGACACGTTATTGGACATAATTCACCTTGCTTATTGTGTTGCCACACGGACCCTTTAGTGGGGAACACCTGTAGCTTTAGCTGCCATTCCTGCTAGCTCATCAGGCAGAGCAGTGCATGTGTTAACCTCTCTGAAAGTAATGGATAATAAAGATTGGAACTCCATTCTTAATACACCGCCTCCGACTCTCTTTTCACGGCACTACAATATATCCATTTAACATACAGTATGTATGTTTATTATAAAAACAATTCTGTGTGTTAAAATGAAAGACAGCCCACACACACCTATCAATCATCAAACCGTGGGGTCTTAATTCATTACGTGTTGATTTATATCAACGGGGGAGTACTTCAGGAAAGTCGGGGGGGCTAGTGGAGTACTTCGTGACCACAGAGTGTGAACGTTGTGATCAGCTGTTTTAGCGCAGTTCTCCAGCGAAGGGGGGGAGTCTCCCTCCGCAGCCGGTTGGCGTAGTTTTGGCACAATTCCGTTGTACAGACCGACGTTAACAGCAGCCTGTCTGTGCACACGGAGACCGACTCTGTCGTCCGGTGATCTAACCGCCTTCTGGAAAAGCTTCACAAGTACGTCGGTATGCAAATGCGCTTTGTGACACAAGTGACGGTACGCATTTCAGATTACGCACATAACCTACCAGTTACGTGCACCCCTGTACTACAGCAACATTATTCTCCGTCGGGACTTCCTGCAACAACACTACGCCGTTATCTTGATTCTGATTGGCCAGAAGACATTATCAAAGATGTTCTATTGAGAAGACGATCACTACGTGACAAAAGTTTTCAAAACCGTTTCTGGTCTTCGGTATTTCCAGACAAGTGGCTACTGAAATCAATCTTACTAACTGCTGTCTGTGCAATTTACTCCGCGCGAATTGGCGGACTTTATTTTGCTTACTTTAACATAATTTTTCATGGTGGGGCTAAGCCATTTCTTGGTATGGGTGTTGCCTACCCCAGCCATACCCTGGCGCTGCCACTGGTGGGATGTATGGGGCGGGCCATTCTGCACATGCGTTAAATATTTTAACGCAATTAATTCAAAAATTAATTACCGCCGTTAACGCGATAATTTTGACAGCATTAATATACATATATATATCTATGGTGAGGATTGTCAAAATGTTGACAAGAAAGTAGTGACGGCCATCTTTGTGACGTGTGTTGTTGTGAGAGTCTGCGAGACCAGAGATGTAGTTCATTAAGCGTTTCACACAAACAAATTACTTCACTTTTTTTTTTTTTGACTTGCAAAATTATCTTTTAAATTGACAAACATCATATGTGTAATTTGTGGCACAATTCAAACGGGATTGAAAGATAATATTTCTCTCTCCATTGACTTCAATACATAATTTTTCCGAAATAAGGTCCCATGGAGCTCCCCCGGAAGGGGAGGGACTTCGCCACTCTATATACAGCTATGTTTAAATGTAAAATAACTGTACGAACACAACAAATGTATACCATTTATTTATTACGTATTTGATTTGTTTTCATTAAAGAAACACATAACACAGACATTATTTTTGTGAAAATTGCACTCACCACACTCTACCAAAGTGTTACTGATCAATTTAAGAATGTCATACAGTTTCTAGGTCCAGTTTCTCTGTAGATAAGACTATAAGACTTTTTATTAGTAATTCGCAGGTTAACACAGGGTCAATAGTACATTCAAATGTATTGGACCATATAACGGTTCAGCTCGGAAGTAAAAATTAGTGTTCGCAATAAGAGCCCAAGACATACTGTAGGCCTATTAAGATAGAATAAAATACATTGACAATAAGATGGGATAACCTACATATCATAGCCTACTATTTCAAGTGGAATTAACAGAGAATAATGAATGTACAGAAAAACACGAGTTTGTAGAAGAAGGCATTTTATTCCTCTGCAGGACTTGAAGTCTCCTGCTGGAGTGTTTTAGGTGTTTGAAGAGTGCTGGGCATTTCAGATCCATCGGCAGACAGAATTTTAGCAGTGTGAGGGAATGTATCTGTTTTAATTTGAATGGTGTCAGAGGAACCAGGTTTCTCAGCTGTATCTGGTGGATTCCTTTGGTGGATTTGGCTCAGGGTCATTCTTCTTTCTATGGTTTCTTTTCTCTTTTCCTTAGATTCTGCTTTGCCCTTGGCCTTTTTGCTTGAAGGGCTGTTTGTCGAATCATCCGCGCTGATCTTTTGTTCTTTATTACAATCAGTGCGCTTCTCTTGTCCCTGGTAGTTGGCACATAAAATACAATTCTAATGCTGTACAAAAAGATCATATGATTACGTTTAAGAGGAGCAGTGCAGAACTGACAGACTGTGCTTGATAGATGAACGTAAGTTGGATCTAACCTTTTGATTTGTCCTTCCCTGTGGGTAACGTGCTATGCTATCCATCACCTTGAGAGTTTTGAGGCAGTCGTCATGCCAGCTCCTCACATTATAGTGTGACTTGCATTGACTCAGATGGAGAAGTATCATTTGATTCTCCTTGGTAATGCGGAGCAACTCCAGCTGTCGCTTCTCCTTGCCAAGGCTACAATGTAGAGTGAACATATGCTTTACAACTGGGGTTTTGGTTTCACACAGAGGCCACCTTATATCTTGGCAATACAACTTGTTGCCTGACTTCATTATGTATTTTTACACCGATAGCTCTTTCCCAACCTTAACTTGCCTTTTTTGCTCATAATAATTCCTGTTGTCAACTCTTCCAGTTGTCAAGATGTGTGAAATTGTTTCCTCAAGCATATTGTTTTCCCTCTTCATTGTCCTTTCTTCTTTAAACTTAGAGATATTATATATGATTGTTAAAATAAAAACATTTATTTTCTAAATTGAGGTTAAAACATCAGAATATCTACTGGGCTATTAATATCTTATAGTTTCATCATTGGATGATTTAAGCACAAACACATTTGTTCTGAGCCTATGGACATCATGTGAGTTGAGTTTAAAACATGTGGAAAAACAGCAACCTTTTTGGTCTTCAGTTTGTTGACAAGGTGACGATAGGTCTCTTGTGGAGTTGTGTTTATTGTTGGTTTGGCTGACCTCACCTTGGGAGAAAAAAAACAATTACATTTTGTAGAAACACCTCGTTTAAAGCACTGAATTATTCCAAAGAAGAGTTGGCTAATTGGGTTTGAGACTGGAATAAAAGTTTGAGGTGAAACGTTCAAAATATGGGATTTCAAGTCATAGCCAGGTATTTAGTCACTTAAAAAAACAAATATTTGTCCTAACCTTTCCCCTGTGTAATTCATATGAAGCCTTGTCCCATTTCTACTGCAGATGTTTGTTTCTAGTGCGCAGGGGTTGGTAAGCCAGATGCTTAATTGTGTGCCTGTCAAGAAAAAACATAAACAAAAGAGCAATAATACATGCTCCCAAACTCAAAAAAAAAACACACACATTTTACAGATGTATAGTTTTGATTAGCATTATGGTCCAGAGTTAATCACATAAAAGTGAGCAGTAAGCTACATAGCCCTCGGGCCTCTCACCTGACAGTCATGGCTGCCCTAGTGTCTCAATCACAACTCTTCGTCTGCGTGTTCATGCTCTGAAGCGTCCAGGGGCCTATAATACGAAGCTGGTTCAACCTAACCTGGATATGTTTGAGTTAGCCGGTTGGCCTAATCCAAAACATACGCGCTGTTGCTAAACTGTACTACGACGCTGGTTATCAAGTGGATCGCTCAAGCCAGCCGTTTCCTATCTAGTTAGGTGCGCGTTCACATAAAAGGGGTGGTATATGGAGCATTCGACCAATCACAAACATGGACAAGCGTACTGACAGCGCAGCGTCATACTTCCTGAATGAAAAGTGAACTTTAATACTAAAAATAACCCAAAAATGAAGAAGTTAAACTTTAAACATCCATGACTTAAACACTTTATCCAGGATCAAAGCCACAGAGCTGCACCTGCAAGGTGAATACAGCTGGCAAAAGAAAAAGTGTTTGAATGCGTACATTAACAGGTTTATGATATCACTGCCCCGTCTAAAACACGATTTGACTTTAATTACATTTGTCTCGAGTGTTTCGTCAACTTAATGTGTTGCTTAAAATAATACTTCTGCATACAGTAGGCCTATGTGACACTGTGAGTGTTGCACGGCCAGATACGGCTCAGCTGACTCAGATAAGAAAATATATGATACATTATGAAGTGATATGCCGCGGACTGTACTTAATGTTACTCTGATCCGGTTACTTATGTTGTGGTAGATATGTGGTAAGTGTTCTTAACGCTAATGTTATAATAGTCAGATTGCTCTGAAGATGGGAGGTGATATTCTATTAATGTTCACGTTCACACAGTCGGTGATTTTTGCCGGCCGTCTTTCCTGCGACGGCAGCTTTTCTGTATTTCCTTTCTCCTGTAATATGACTTGATCGCTTTAAACTCCGCACACTGAGCTCTGATTGGTCAGCAGGCAGTGCTTTCACTGAGTTGAGCTCTTAGCCTGCAACCTAACCTGGTCCCGACCAGGTAAGCCGCTAAGCATAAGTTACCATGGAGATCTAGCCTGCTAAAAAGAGAACCAGCTTCGTAGGACCGGAAAGCCGGAGTTTTCCCTGAATTTATCCGGCTAAGCGAAAATCCTGCTTCGTAGTATACCCCCCAGGTCGACTGGAGCTCAGACACTGCAGTCTGTTTTCTGCCAGTCATACATGGTTGCCATGACAGCAGCTGGGAGAGAGCGGAGATGAATGGTTTCAAACGATGCTTAGCAAGTTCCACACAGAGAAACGCACACAGGCATAGAGATAGGCTAATTAGTGAGGAGGCTGTGCAGAGAGTGACTGTAAAACGAGCTGTAGTTGAAAGCTGAACATGAGCTGGCATACAAACTGAATTTTCTAAATGTGTTCATACTATTTTAGACTGCTCATGCCTGCAATGAGAATACAAAAAAATGTGACACCAGTTTTTGAGCACTGGTCATACTTCTATTGGAGACAGAGTTCACTGGATCTGTTGACCACATTTATCATGAACATGAAATGAACAACTGAAATGTAGAAGTATAACATTTAATGAAAATGCATGACCTGATTGAATGAATGCGGTGAGGGGCATAGGCTACTGTATTTTGCATCTAGCTGCATTAAGGCAACGACAGCCTTGGTGACAGTTACTGGGAAACATAACCAAACACACAACAATTAATACACAAAGACACCCACAGAAAAGCAGCTGGCATGCAGGGCAGGTTTATGTCTGATCATAGCAAGGGAACTTTAGTTTTTTTTACAGTCAGACAACTATAATACATATACAAAACAACAGCAAATCTACACATAGCACTGCACGCTATAACGTGGTATACTGTCTTGTCATGTTTTAATGTTGAATATCCAATATTTTTTCAGAATAGTACATCACAAGAGAGCATATCACCAAATATTTTTGAATGAATCTCATTGAGGTGACTTCATGAATGAACAAATATATTACAACATTGCCCCCTACTGGCTTTGAAGATGATTCTTGAGCTAACAACTGTTAATAATTCAAATGCTATGCCAGACAACTAAAGCTCTTATGAAACTGTAATAGATCATTATGTCACCCTTTTCATGCGCCAACTGAATTCAATGTAAACAGGATTCTGTGTACTGGCAAAATGAACTCTATATTTATATATAGTAAGTAAGAATATGCTGGCAAATGATTGAACACCTATTCTTTAACGAGTATATCAAAGAATATGAGTTGTTGTAAAGCTGCCATGGCGAAGGGTTTCTTCATGTCTGACGGATGTCTTCACAAGCCAATTAATTGTTCCCACGCGGTCACATCTCAGTGCATAGGAAGAGCCCTCATGAATGAATTATAGGCAGTAAAATGCTTCCAGTCCAATTTATGACTTTGTTGTATTAGAAGACACGTGTTGATGGGACATATGGGAGATACAAGGGAATTAAAATAGGGACTGGGACTCAATATCCCACATGCTTTCCTTCTTTCCTTTTTCTATTTCCAAAATATAAAAATGCCTTGTCAATGTATGTAGCCTCAAGTGGAGAAACGGCTAAATTCACATCCACTATAATGATTGAGGCGTGCTTCTATAATGTAACTTCTTTCATATTTGTGCCTACAAAACTACTTTCCATGTTTACTTTCTTTTCCACAATGACTCACAGTTGATGTCTTGTGATTGGGATTTGTTTGTGATCAAGAGAAATGAATCTTTCCTATTAAAAGTGAATTTAAATCTCTATGAGTTTACCCAAATGTATCACAATTATAAAACGCAAAATGATTGACTGCTTAAGCAATTAACCCTTTTCAAGTAGAAGCAGCTCGTTCAGCAGTTACAGTCTATGTTTATAGGCCTGCAGCCACTAAGCATGTCTGGACTATGAGGTACTCTTCGTGGAAAGGTTCAAGCTATGTCAAGTAACATATGTTTTTGTGTGTGAAAAGCCAAGTTAATACCACAAATTCAAGACCTAATGTGTTCCTGTGACGGCAGACATAATTTGACCCTTTATAATCACAGCATGATGTTGCCACCATCAACTTTCAGGTTGAGTAAAGAGTGGTATATTTCTGTTTCCACCATACATCAGATTTTAATATATCACTAAAGATACATTTTTGTCTTATACCCACATGCATTCTGGCAATCACTAGCACAAACTCCATCCATTAACTCTACATGCTTAAGCTTGCAGGGTGCTGGAGTCTATCCCAGCACACACTGTGCAAGAGTGCAACCATTTATAATACCATTCATAGCTTTTGGAAAAACATAGTCTCTACTGTGCTTCACATAATGTTGTGTCCCGTCAATTATGTTAAGTTTTGTCATGTTAGTTTAGTTTATGTTCCACTTCCTGTTTTATTTTGTACTCACCTTGTCTCATTCCAGGTGCCTTTACTTCCTGCTCTGGTTCCTTTTCTCGCCATCATCAGTGTCTGCCCCGCCCCTGATTGTTTCCACCTGTGCCCACTTACCTCATGTATATATTGTCCTGTCTCCCCTTGTTAGTTGTCGGTTCGTCTTGTTCATTGCTCCAAGAAGTAAGATCTAAGCCATTGTTTAATGAAAGTCAGTGTTTTGCCTTTTACCCTCCACGAGAGCGCTTTACGTTTGTCAGTTTGTTCATTCCTCTAAAAGAGTGATTTTGTTTTTTGCAAGTAAAGACTATTTTTTCTTCAAAACCTTTTTGTCTCTGGGTCGTTCATTTGAGTCCTCCAAGCTATTGAGTCAAGGTTCCTAACACATAACATGTATGCCTTTGCTCTGTAGAAACAGGTGCACCCAGAGGAAAACCATACAAGCGAAGAGAGAACATGCAAAGACATAAAAGCACAACATAATTTGTTTTACTACCCACACAAACACTTTGAGCATAGGCAGCTCTCAGCAGATTTACAGCTGTTGACATTAAAATCATTAAATAAGCAAAAGCACTTGATTACTCACACGTCATATCGATTCAACTTACAATATCACCTCTAAAATCAACCGGTTTCAGCATGGATTCTTCACAGGTGCTATTTTAAAGGGGGGAGAGGCTCATCAAGTTTTTTTTTTTTTTATCCCTGATTAAAGTTAGTTTTTTAATGATCACTGTGAAACAAAACTGAGTTATATCCATTGTCATTGAATGTGGTAACATACAAAATAAACATCTACAAAATATAAATACTTTTTGTAGGCTTTGTGCGTATCATGTTCAATTAAGATGGGAGATAATGATGCTTTCAAGATGACAAAGCTTGTTTTCTTGTCCTGAATGGCTGGGGATGCTTCTAGTTCCAGGTAAGTCTCAATGGTGCACTAGTGGATCTTCCATTGCACCATCGTGGGAATAAGACGGTCTCTTTGGGATGGGAGAGGCACAGGAAGTCCTGATACAAATAACAAAAACGTGTTTTTTGTTTTTAAGATGAAGATAGTTTAATCCTTAATAATATAAGCCTAGATGGACAAATGTATGTATGTGGAAAATAAAAACATTTGCAAATGGTGACCATGGTGTATTTCCTTTGTCTTTATCCGATGGATATTCAAATCCATTACCATTACTATTTGATTATGTTATTTAATAGAGTTAGGCTTTTTGGCCAGAACGTCAGTGAGATCAGCAGGAGAGTTGGTACCTGTTCTTTTTAAAAAAAAATCTGTGTGATGGAAAGTGACTACGGTAACAGGTCCCAGGAGAAGATACTGTTGAGGTGACTGTATCACGCTGGCTCTAAGCCTCATTGTTAGGGTTACTGAACAGCTATGCGATGGAGGAGTTTCATAACTAAGCCTTATAAAATCACAAAAGAATATTGGTTTGTTGGAACAACCAAGCCTTCATTTTTTTTCCATGTGTACCCCTCACACCTCAGTTGGTCAAAATGTATCACTTCATTAACGTGGTGCGCTATGAATGGGGAACCTTTGCCAACAGAAGCTCTCTCCTCAATCCTTTAAAGCTCTCTTCTCCATGGTGATCATCTATCAGATTGGTGTTGTTGAAGCATAACAAACCCTGTCTTGACCTTTTTAAAAATAGAAACAGACATTAGAGACATCTCGGGGCGCACTACTTACTTCTTTCAGAGTTGGCCCTGTTCTACCTTTATCTCGTGTGATAGGGCACGCTGTACATCATTTTTTAATGGCATCAAAAAATGCAAAAAACACTTTGTGACATTTCATGTTTGACTTATGCACAGGAGTGTTATCTTTG